TGGGTGGGTGCATGGATGAGTGGGTGGGTGGATGGGTGAGTGGATGGATGAGTGGGTGGATGGCTAAACAGGTAGATGAGTGGATGGACATAGATGGATGAATGGGTGGACAGAAGGATGATGAATGGCTGGAAAGATGGATAACTGAGGATAGATCCTGTGTCCCAACAACACGTGCATTTGTTCATTGAGGCATTCATTGCATTAAAACGAACATTTACTGAGCACCTATTAAACACTGAATCCATTCTAAACACTGTGGATGCAGGGGTAATCACGAAAGACAGACACCGTGTCTATCTTTCTGGAATTCACAGCCTGGAGCCAAAAGGGGAGCAAGAAGCCAGGCTCCATTTCCACAGAAGAAATGCAGAAGGCAGTTTTCCCATTTACATAAGCCAGTGAAGTCCAACCTTGACTGAGTACATCAGCATTTGTGTCGTGAGCTCAGTCGTAACAAAAGGCAGCGTGGTGCACTGAAGGAGCCGGCGCTCTGGGGGCTGACTGGGTTAAATCAGCGCTTTGACGCTCGCCTGCTGTGTAGCATGGGCAGCTCAGTTCATTTCTCTTGGTCTCAATTTCTTCACCAATGCCATGAAAGTGAAAGTGAAAGTGGCTCAGTCGTGTCTGACTCTTTGTGACTCCATGGGCTATACAGTCCATGGAATTCTCCAGGCCAGAATACTTTAGTGGGTAGCTTTCCCTTTCTCCAGGGGATCTTCCCAACCCAGGGATCAAACCCAGGTCTCCCACATTGCATGCGGATTCTTTACCAGCTGAGCTATCAGGGAAGCCCATAGAAGTAACTGTCCCCATCTGCAGGGCTGTCGTGAAACCCCCTGCCTGCAGGCAGCTCACAGACAGAAACCCACTCCAGTATTCTCGCCTAGAGAATCTTTCCGTTCAAGGCCCCCCTCCCCGTCCCCCACCCCGGCAACCATCCAATTGCTTACAATTTGCTGTTTTTCATGCTGCTGGGCAGCCCCGGGCTATTGGAGTGGCAAGGAGCAAGCCCTACTCCCCCTTTCCTCCCCACCCCTCATGTCTCTCGTCGGCCCTCCTGCCCAAGTTGTAAAGAAGCGTGAAACTCCCTCAGAAGGCTAAGAAACTAAAAGTCACGACAGGGTCAAAGGGAAAGAATTGAAACTTGTCCAATCAGTCTGATATCACACGGTCCAAGGGGAGCCGCCTCCCAAAGTTAAGGCCTCCTTCCCACCGTTTTATCTTCGGAGGCAGCCTCTCCGCCTGCACACCTCTGCCCACGTCCCCACCACCTCTCAGGGTCACACCGGACACGGCCCCGGCCCTCTCCCGGGAGCTCAGTGACCTTAGCTGCACCAGGCCTGCAGCTCTGCAGGGCCCCCAGCCTCCGGGACACTCAGGCCTCTCAGCTCCAGGCAATTCGCCGTCCTCGGCCAAGGACGAGCCATCTTCCTGAGGCTGACCCCACGGGGCCAGTGTGACCCCGAGTTGGCCCTGGCCCAGAGCCACCTGCAAACCGTTGCTGCTGGTCAGGAAAAAAGACGCAGAAATCAAGAGTCGACAGAAACGTTTGTGACAGTTTGACAGAGTGACCTTATGTCTGTTGTTAAATTTTATTTTTAAATCATTTTTTCTGCTTATGACAGTGCTGGGTCTTCTTCATTGCAAGAACTTTCCATTGCAGCAAGCAAGGGCTGCTCTCGAGCGGGGGTTCGGGGGCGTCTCATCAAGGCAGCTTCTCTCGTTGTGGAGTAGTGGACCCTGGGCACGTGCCCTTTGGTAGTCGCGGCTCCCGGCTCCCAGCCCTGGCACGCAGGCTCAGTAGCCGTGGTGCCCGGGCTTAGTTGCTCCATGGTATGCGGGATCTTCCGGGTTCAGGGATGGAACCTATGACCCCCCTACACTGGAAGGTGGACCCCTTACTCAGGAGCCACCAGGGAAGCCCTGTTGCTAATTTTTTTTAAATAATGATTTTTAAATGGGCTTGCCTTTTGAATGACTCTCTTTGTATTTCATTTTCTAACAGTTTATTATATTTTAAAGTATTGGTCTGACAGATTGGAATTTTTTTTAAATGGTTCTTCCCTACAGATCATTGAGAAGGGCTGGTCAGAACATATGCGGGAAAGAGAGTCTATTTTCCTGAGGGTCTATTTTCCTCCCGGCCACCACGTGCGGACTCAGGGTCTCTCCTTTTCAAACAGAGCCAGGTTCCTTCCTGTCGGCCCACCCCGCCCCCACCCCCAAGCTCCCCAGCTCCAGGACCTACTGGGAATAAAAATCAGCTTGATATCAAGAGTCCTCCTCAACAGCTGCTTCCCGTAACCTCAGAAGTCCCAGCAAACCTTCATGATGACCGTGCAAGAGGTCGTCAGAAGGGCATGGAGGCCAGGCTGTCAGCAGCAGAGGCTGGGGGGCAGGGTCTGTCCCGTCTGTCTGCAGAGGAGGAGCCGGCCTCTCCACCACTCACTTGACTTCAGCAGAAGAAAAGCAGACTGTTTACAAATAGAAGATAATGTTGGTGCAGATGGCGGCCCCCGAGTGGAGCGGGGGTGGGGAGACACAGGCAGCCTGCAGTGTATTCCTGGTCATAAGACCCGAGTCCAAACAAGTGGCTGTGCCGGTCAGCGTGTCAGCCCCCAGGGGTGCTTCGGTCCCCTGCAGGCTGTGGCCATGGTCCTGCCTGTTGGTCTCTGAGAGTCAAGACAGCCCAATCATTTCAATAAACAGTCTCGTGGAAAACAAGCCTGGCATGCTGCGGTCCACGGGGTTGCAGAGTCGGACACGATTCGGCGACTGGACGACAGCAAACAGCAGTGTCTTCTGCCTGCTCTGAGCTCCTGCCGCGCGCCGGGCTCTGATCAAGCGTGCGGAGCAGGTGTAGCGCCCTGGAGACACAGGGGAACAGAGGATCAGAGAAGAGACGCGTTTTTACCCAACTCACAGAGCACTTAACAAGCCTCAGTGCTGAGACTGGGACTCACAGTGCTGGTGGCAAAATCTTGCATGTTTTTAGCCAAAAGGCCCATCTCACAAGCACAGTAAAGCTGGCCCAGAGCGTGGGGGTCCTGGCTGTGACGTAAGCCAGTCTATCAAGCATCAGCCGGACAAATGTTTCTTGAGCAGCCAGGACATGCCAGGGGGTGGACCCCGGGGGTACAGGCAGGCAGAACACACCATCCTGCTTCCAGAACCAAAAGTGAACCAGCTCAGACCAACCCACCCAGGGAGGGGATATTTGAGCCAAGGCTGAGGGGAGCAGAGAGTGAGCAGCCTGAGTACTTTGGGAAGATGAATGCGGCAGCGCCAACTCCCAGCCCCAGCTTGAGGTTCATACCAGGGTCACCTCCTCCTGGAAGCCTTCGCTGATTCGTCCCTCCCCAGCCTGGGTCAGGCATTCCTCCGGCCCCCATGGCTCTGTGTTACTGTCTTGTTGTCTCTCTGAGTCCCCAGCAGCCTGGGAGCAGCTTGGGGACAGGGGTTCGTCTGCAGTACCGTTTCAGAGCCCAGCGCTGAGCGACAACGCAGGCTGCCAGTCAACAGGCACCCCTCACTGGTCGGTGAGCTCCTAATGGTCAGCTTGGCAGGGCTCAGCTCGGATTCTTCAAGATCGCTTCCTCCAAGCCTAGAATGGGAGCCAGCCCAGGGCAGGCGTTCCGAGTTGTTGTTCGGTTGCTAAGTTGTGTCTGACTCTGTGTGACCCCATGGACTGCAGCAGGCCAGGCTTCCCTGTCCATCGTCATCTCCCGGAGTTTATGATGCCATCCAACCACCTCCTCCTGCCCTCAATCTTTCCCAGCATCAGAGTCTTTTCCATTGAGTTGGCTCTTCATATCAGGTGGCCAAAGTATTGGAGTTTCAGCTTCAGCATCAGTCCTTCCAATGAATACCCAGGACTGGTCTCCTTCTGGATGGACTGGTTGGATCTCCTCGCAGTCCAAGGGACTCCCAACAGTCTTCTCCAAACCACAGTTCAAAAGCATCAATTCTTGGGCGCTCAGCTTTCTTCACAGTCCAACTCTCACATCCATACATGACCACTGGAAAAACCATAGCCTTGACTAGACAGACCTTTGTGGACCTATTTCTTAAGTAGATAGATGGCTTACCCTTCCTGACTTAACAGCTGGATGAGGTCTCATGAAGAGGCCACACGCCTGGAGCCACCACCCAGATCAGAAATCACAGACGGGCACCCGTGCTCTGAGGCCTCTGCCCGCCTCCCACAGGTACCATGGCCCCCCAAGAGTAAGCGCATCCTTCCCGCCGAGATGGCCTTGCCTGGGCGGGACCTTCGCAAAGGCAGCATGCGACATGAGTCTCTGTCCGGCTGCCCACGCAGCCCTGCGCCCAGGACCCGCCCAGGCGGTGCGGGGTGCCAGGCCGTCGCACTCCTTCTCCACGGTCCTGTGCAGGCGTGTCAGCCACTCGCCGTTGGGAGTCACTCAAGGGGCTTCCAGTGGTCGGCCGCTGTGCGTGCTTCTGCTGGGCGTCCACAATGGGAGTGGACATGCTGAGTCATAGCCCCGCAGATGCTGCCAGATGGGGCGACCCGAACTTTGGCTCAAAGTGCCAGAACCAGCTTCCCCCAGCAGTGACCACCCGTCTGTACATCTCAAGTCTTCATTCCAGCAGGCGGTTACTGACCCTCGGGGTGGTTCGATCTATACTTCCCCAAGGATGAAAAAGCTGAGCACCTCTTCCCATTCATCGATCGTCTGAATATCCTCTTCGCTGAGGTGTCTTATGTGTCTGCTTTATCTGCCTTTTTTCCTTCATGATTCACAGTTCTTTATTCTAGATTCAGATTTTGTTTTTTTGGTAACATCTCCATCTTTGGCTCGTGGGTTCCTGGTTCGGAGCCTAGAAGAGGACCCCGCCCGGAGCAGGCGTTCTGAGCTGTTGTTGTTCAGTGGTGAAGTCTAGGCGGACTCTCTGCGACTGCAGAGCCTGCGCAGGGCTCAGGGCGCCGTGGCCCCTGCTCACGGCAGGGCTGGGCAGGCCCCGTTCCGCCTCTTTCAGAGGGAATTGCCCTCTTTAGGGCCTCCCCTGGGGAGCCCGTTCCCCCGTCCAGCCCAGGGCACCAGGGGTACGAAAGGGGCCCTTGCTGCCAGCTGGGCTGGCCGGCCGGCACTGCTCTCACAGCTCCCGAGGCCACCCGAGACCCCCTTCTTTCCTGACCCCTGGCCCTGCCCAGTCCTGACATTACCACAATCCCGCCTCACACTCCGTGTCTCAGGGCCCCAGACCCCTGCTAAGCCCAGGATGAGTGTAGAGGTTACCAGCGCCTGCCTGGTGTTTATTGCATGCCCCTTGCACTGGGTGACCCAGAGATCAGCGGCTGCGGCCCTCATGCCCGCCAGGGCACACAGGGCTGGGGGTCAAAATCTACTGAGCAGCACAGGCTGAAGCTGTGGGCGCCCCTCCCGCCTCCCCTCCTTGGGCTCCCTTCACGGGCGGCGCTGGTCCTCAGGGCGGTGCAGAAGCCCCGCTGCGAAGCCTCGAGTTCAGATTTAGGATTGCTTTGTGCTCCTTTGGTTAACTCCAGGAGAGGTGCGATCACAAAAACCTCAGGCTTATCTGCTTTCTGGTTTCCGTGGAAACTCCAAAGGCTCTGGGTCAGGTGCTGCGGACAGAAGTAGCTGTCTGGGCCCCCTCTGAGCCGGCCAGCTGCCAGCCCTTGAGGGCATCGCAGGATGGGGTGTGAGGCTGGTGGGCCGGAGCCTGGGCTGGGAAGGGGCAAGGGCCCCAGAGGACCTGGGCCCTGGAAGTGACTGGCCTGGAGGGGGGCTCTTCCCCCCACTTTACAGGTTAGCAAACGGAGGCTCAGAGAGGGGAAGGGAAACCTGCCCCAGGCCTGGCGGGCTGGTCTCAGGGCCCCAGGGAAGCCTGTGTTGCGGGCACATTGTTGGAAGTCACGTCACTGTGGTTGTCCATCTTACCCAAACTGTGTGACCTCGCTCGGGGCTGGTGGGGTTGAGACAGGCCTCCCCTCCACCTACTGGGCCCGGGGCCGGAGCGTCCACCTGCACGCCGCTGACCGGAGCCATCTTCTGGTGTGTGGGAGGCCTCACCCCTGGCTGCGGAGGGGGCTCTGGGGCTCCTGCTGCCTTCACCTACCCAGTGCCAACCCAAGGCCACTAGAAGAGCCCGCAGCGCCTCCCGCCCCCTCAGCCCCCAGATGCAGGTCAGCAGCAGCGTGAGCTGCCGGGACGTCACCTTCTTGCCTCTCCCAGCCCCGTGCAGCTCCACTGCGGGGATTTGGTGCTGGAGGCAGGTGGGCGGTGTGAGGGGTGCGCTGTCCCCGGAAGCGGTGAGGTCACAGCTCCAGTCTTGCCGGGCCGCAGGCTGACCCCTTGACCGCGCGCCGGGTGGGCTCCGAGGGCAGCTCCACCGGCCGCTGTGAGGGGAAGCCGGCCGGCGCCAAGCCTCCCCTGCTCCAGCCCCAGGCTGCAGCCAGGCCCTCAGCGAGCCCTTGAGCTGGGGTTTTCACTTGTGCCAGGGAAGGGCTCCCAACACCCCCAGCTGGGCCCCTGCCGGCGCCTGGGGAGCAGGAGGAGGCGGGCAGGCGCTGAGGTGGGGCTCTGAGAGGAAGCGCCTGGCCTGCTTCCCCGGGCACGTCCCCACTCCCCCCACTCCCCCGGCTCCGCTTGCAGGGGCAGGGACCCCAGCAGGGGGAGGGACCTGAGGTTAAACCAGGCTAAGGGAGTGCTGAGCGCCCTGGGGCGCTGGCCAAGGATGGCTGGCTCTGACCACGGTCCTCCCCGCCCCCAGGCAGCCGCCGGGCAGGCTGAGAGCCGGGTTCTGCTTTGTTTTTAGTGGCGTCGAGTCCTCGTGGTTTAAACAGACCGTTTAAGAAACGGGGAGTTTCAGTAAAAGCCGCCTTCTGGGGCACTAATGTTCTAGAGAAATCCTTCCAACCCCCTGCTGTTGAAGTCAAGAACAGGCTGTCTGGCTCTGTGACCACCCCCACTGCCCCCCGTGGCTCCTGGATGTCCCTCCAGGCGCCCCTCTCCTTGGGAAGGACCTGTGAGGGCAGCGAGCCCTCTCTCTTCATGACCTGTGTGCACTCCAGCCAGCCAGCCTCAGTGCGGCCTTTTACTGTGTGGCCTTAGGCAACTGTCTCACCCTCTCTGTCTCTGACGTCTACACTGCTGCCTCTCCAGGGCCACAGAGGAGCCTGGGGGGGTCTCCGCCCACCCCACACCGGACAAGCCGAAGCCGAGCCCGCAGCACTGCCGGCTAACCCCCATGCAGGATACGTGCCCATGATCTGTCTTCCTGGGCAGGGGAGGCGTGCCCTGCCCCTCGCCAGTGGGCACGGGACGCTGCCAGCCTTTCTGCCCGGGGATCCCACACCCTACATCTCTTGCTGAATCCCACATGGTGAATCTGTTGCTTCAAGCTGGTTCCCTGGGGTCAGATCCTCAGGCCTGGTCCCATCGGCTGTGGGCCAGGCAGGTCTGAGGTTGGGACTCATAGTAAGAACTCTATCAGCGCTTCCATGCTGACTCAAGACAGGCAAGAATGTGACTGTAGTGTGGGAGACCAAGATAGGTCAGAGAAACATCAACAACCTCAGATATGTGGGTGATACTACTCGAATGGAAGAAAGTGAAGAGGAACTAAAGCGCCACTTGATGAGGGTGAAGGACAGTGAAAGAGCCAGCTTAAGACTAAATATTAAAAAAAATAAACTAAGATCATGGCATCTAGCCCCCTTACCGCATGGCAAATAGAAGGGGAAACTGTGGAAGTAGTGACAGATTTCCTTTTCTTGGGCTCTAAAATCACTGTGGATGGTGACTGCGGCCATGAAATCAGAAGATGACTGCTTCTTGGCAGGACGGCTTTAACAAACCTAGACAGTGTGTTGAAAAGCAGAGACATTACTCTGCCAATAAAGGTCTGTATAGTCAAGGCTATGGCCCTCCCAGTGGTCACGTACGGTTGTGAGAGCTGGACCGTGAAGAAGGCAGAGCACCGAAGAATTCACGCCTTTGAACTGTGGTGCAGGATTGGACTCCTGAAAGTCCCCTGGACAGCAAGGAGATCAATCCAGCCAATCTTAAGGTAGATCAACCCTGAATACTCCCTGGAAGGACTGATGCCGAAGCCCCGATATTTTGGTCATCTGATGTGAACAGATGACTCACTGGAGAAGTCCCCGATGCTGGGAAAGATCGAGGGCAGAAGGAGAAGAGGGGTCAGAGGATGAGACGGCTGGACAGCACCACCAATGCAATGAACATGAACTTGGGCAAACTCCGGGAGACGGTGAGGAGCAGGGGAGCCTGGTGTGCTGCAGCCCATGGGCTTGCAGAGGTGGACACGACTGAACAACATCAGGTGTACCTCCACCAGGAGGGGAGTACCGAGTCTCAGGTGGCTGGAGGCTGGGCCTGTGCTGGGTGGACCACGTGAGCCCCCACCTTCACACAGCTGGTGTTCACATTCCCACCTCACAGACAGGGAAACTGAGGCTCCCTAGCCTGCTCAAGGCAGAGAGCTAAGAGAGGGAGCCCACACTCAGAAGGTCAGCTTGGGCTGGTTTTGCTTTCTCAGCACTGAGTTGGCGGCCTTTGTGCGCCGAGCCTGTGCCCACTGCCTTTCTGGTGGACGGTACACCTGGCCAATGATACCCAGGCGCAGGGTAAGCAGCAGAAAGGCCCCGCACCCGGGGCAAACGCCCAGCAGCCCTCACCCAGGTAAAGCTGCCCGGATGCGACAGCAGCAGGAACTTCAGCTCTGCAGCCTCGAGGATGGACACCCGCCTCTGGGAACAACAGCTCAGAGGCGGAGCGGGGCTCAGAGACTGAGGACCTGGGCTCCTCCCAGCTGCCCTTGCCCCCAGCAAGCCAGCTCTGCCCATTCCTGGAGCCTGGCCAGGCACCTGCTGGCTGGCCTGTGCTTGACCCCATGGCAGTGGCGGGGGGCTTCTAGTTGATCAGAGGATTCCTGATAGCGGGCCCTCATACCTCTCAGCAGCCCCCTCCTTAGGCTGCCCAGAGCGGAAAGCAGTGGGTTCTTTCTCATCCCGTGTGAATGAACCCAGAGTCCTGCATGAGGAACCCTCCACAGGGAAAGGCCGATGGACACGGTCCCTGAAAATCAGGGGGCACAACAGTGTTACTGACACGACCTTTTGTGTAAAACTGTAAACACACTTTACAACAGAAGTACATCATCAGGATTTTTTTTTTACCCCTGGAATCAAAAGTCAACAGTATCTGTGGGGAGAAGACCTAGAGCAGGAGGAGGCCGACCCCAGAGTGGCTAGTAGTGGGGGCTTGAGGAGCCAAGAAGGCCCAGTGAAGTCCTTCCCGCACCTGAGGCCGTGGCTCTGTCTGCTGTAAAGACGCAGAGAGCGCATAAGAGCGAACCCAGCACTCAGGGCGGAGGGCCGGGAGGATCCCAGCATCGGCAGAGCGTGGTCGCGCCCCGTGAGAACCTGGAGGAAGGAGGGGCCCACGACCTCGACCGCGGCCAGGACTCAGGGGAGTTGGGAGCTTGCCCCTCACAGGGTGGAGCCGCTCACAGAGCCGGCTTTTTCTTCCTGGTGCGGGGGGCCGGCCGCAGCTCACCCGGCCCATGGGCGAACGGGCAGCAGTCTGCCGGCAGGACGCAGCCGTCGGGGTGATGAGCGAAGAACCAGCAGATGCGGGTTTTGAAGGTGTCGGGGGACAGCCTCTGCTTCGCCTCCGGTTCCTCCTGCTTCTGCGGCCTCTCCTCCCTCCAGTCGCGGATGCGCACGCGCCCGTTCAGAACTGTGGTTGGAACAAAGAGAAGAAACGCGCCCAGTTAGCTGCAGGCCCGTGGGCTCCCAGGGGGATGGGGTAGATGCAGGCATCCCAGGAGGCATGGCAGGGAAAGGGAGATCAAGCCCCTTACTGCCCAAGGCCTGCAGTCTCCTCTAAAGCGGGGCCGGAGGCAGGGGTGAGGGGGAGCGAGGGCAGGGTGGAGGCGTGGGGCTGGGGGTGGTCAGGAGAAGCTGCCGGACACCATGGCGAGGGGTGAGTAGCCTGAGCCTGAGGCCCTGGTGCTGATGAGACCAGCGTGACCACGAGGGCTGACCAGCTGGGTGACCAGCAATGGCACCGGCTTGAGGGACGGGGAGACCACGAGCGTGGTCCTGATGCAGGCAGGACGTCGGGACATCTGCCACGCAGTGCTGACCCCTGAGGACCTGCGGCCACATCACAATCAGGAGGCAGAGTGAAACGGGGCAGGGTCCTTTCCAGCAGGTGAAGACCAGGGGTGGGGCTTACAACCAGAGTGGGGGCTCACAGCAGCCCCGGTGGCAGGGGCAGGGGCGGCAGGCTGCGATGCAGTGACGGGCGCTGGGTGGCGGGGTGACCGCAGAGATGGGCGGCTGGAGGACCCCGGGGAGGGGTGCGCCTGTCAGCTGACCACCCGCCTAGTGGGCTCCTGAGCTGGTGCCCTGACTGGCTGAAGCTGCCCCGGGAGCTTCCCCGGCTGTCGCCCTGTCCCGAGAAGTCAACATCCCCATGGAAATGAAGTAAAGCAGCCAAGCCCTGGTGGTTTCCCCTGGAAGTGCTAAAACCACGTGGAGACGCAACCGCTCTGGGAGAAATAAAGGACACTCATTGAATAAATCTGGCTCCCCGACCTCTAAGGAAAACATCAAAGTGGAAATGAAAGCTTGAATTTCCCCTGCAGATTGCCTCGTGTTATGGCGATGATGGCACTGCCTATCTCTGGAGATTGACAATTTACTAAAACTGTCCCTCGAAGCCAGAGGAAGGAATCACAGAGGCGCCTCTGTGTGTGGAGGACACAATGAGGGGATTCAGCCTCCAGCATGGCAGACAAGCACCTCTGAAGGGCCAGGCGGGCCCTGCTCTCGGGAGGCAGACGGAGAGCTTGGCTCCCCGGCACGCAGGAAACCACAGCCTTCACGGTGTGCCCACAGCAGCACCTCCTGGCGCAGCTGGGAATGACATGGCCCGGCCAGAGCAGGGTGCCCAGGGCACCCCCAAATTCCAGCAGTGTGCATCTGAAAGACGGGGGGGGTGCCCCTCACTGCCTGGATGGAGTGCGAGGTGCCCCCAGACTCCAGCAGTGTATATCCGAAAGACGGGGGGCCCTCACTGCCTGGACAGGGTGCAAAACACCCCCAGACTCCAGCAGTGTGCATCCGAAAGACGGGGGGCCCTCACTGCCTGGACAGGGTGCAAAACACCCCCAGACTCCAGCAGTGTGCATCCGAAAGACGGGGTCCCCCACTCCCTGAACAGGCTCGAGAGAAATCTGGGGGAAGACAGTGAGGGGTTTGCTGGGGCCAGAGCTGGGGAGAGACCCCCACCGTCCAGGGGGTGGCTGGTCCCTGCCCCTTAAGGGCCGGCCAGCTCAAGGCAGGCCCTCCACTGGCCACGTTTCTGCAGCAGTCCCTGCAGGGTCGGGAGAAGGGGCCCAGCCAGGACTTGTAAGGCTGGGAGAGTGGGCGCTCAGGATGAGGGGCGGCCCTGGAGACGGCAGAGGCCAGGGCGCCCCGGGGGCCAGGATGGCCGGTGGCCCCTCTGCCCCCAGGACACGGCCGCCTCTGTGCCCTCCCGCCCCCCGCCTGGGTGGGCCTGTGCCACGCGTGTGCACCCCGCCAGCAGCTCTGGGGCCAGACCAGCAGCCTCTCCCCGGGTGGAAACACGGCCCTGATTTTCAGGGCATCACAGGCAGGAAACGCGCCCTGCCAACTCACTCTGCCCCCATCCCGAGCCTGAGGACTCACAAACCCACCACTCTACCCCTCCGCTGTTTCTGACCACAGATGTTGCCTGAACCAAAGTGTCCTGAGGAAGCAGCACAAGAGTCTCCCAGAAACTCTGTGGTGCTTTACTCACTCAGGCATGTCCGACTCTTTGTGACCCCGTGGACTGTAGCCCGCCAGGCTCCTCTGTCCATGGGATTCTCCAGGCAAGAATATTGGAGTGGGTTGGTGTTTCCTTCTCCAGCAGATCTTCTGGACCCCGGAATCAAATCGGGGTCTCCTGCATTGCAGGCAGATAATCTTTACCGACTGAGCTATGATGGAAGCCCAAG